TATCTATCTATCTATCTATCTATCTATCTATCTATCTATCTATCTATACATACACACATACATATAATTTTTACCCTTCAACTACCCTAATACTGACAAAGGTCTCACGAGTTGCAAATATCATCTTTCCATGAAAGAATGTAAACAGTTCAACCTGAATAAGTCTCTTATTATTTCTCTTTCCTGTTTACCTTTTCAGGTTTCACTTGAGTCTTGTATTTGTAAGTCAAATTTTCTATTCAGCTCTGGTCTTTTCACCAAGAATGCTTGAAAGTCCCCTATTTCACTGAATGACCCTTTTTTACCCTGAAGGATTATAATCAGTTTTGCTTGGTAGGTGATTCTTAGTTGTAATCCTATTTCCTTTGCCCTCCCTAACATTATATTCCATGCCCTTTGGTCCTTTAATGTAGAAGCTGCCAAATCTTGCGTTATCCTGATTGTCTTTCCACAATACTTGAATTATTTCTTTCTGGATGCTTGCAATATTTTCTCCTTGATCTGGGAACTCTGGAATTTTGCTATAATATTCCTACGAGTTTTCTTTTGGGCATCTCTTTCAGAAGGAGTTTTGTGGATTCTTTCAATTTCTATTTTGCCCTGTGGTTCTAAATATCAGGGTAGTTTTCCTTGATAATTTCTTGAAAGATGATGTCTAGGTTCTTTTATTTTTCATCATGGTTTTCAGGTAGTCCAATAAATTTAAAATTATTTCTCTTGGATCTATTTTCCATGTCAATTGTTTTTCTAATGAGATATTTCACATTGCTTTCTGTTTCTTCATTCTTTTGCTTTTGTTTTACATTATTTTGATTTCTCATAAAGTCATTAGCTTCCAATTGCTCTATTCTAATTTTCTAGGAAGTATTTTCTTCAGTAAGCTTTTGGACTTCTTTTGCCATTTGGCCAATTTTACTTTTTAAGGTGTTCTTCTCCTAATTGGCTTTTTGGACCACTTTTGCCATTTGGGTTAGGTTATTTTTTAAGGTGTTGTTTTCTTCAGTATTTTTTGGATCTCCTTTAGCAACAGTTGACTTGTTTTTCAAGATTTTCTTGCATCATTCACATTTTTCTTCCCAGTTTTTCCTCTACTTCTCTTGCTTGCTCCTCAAAATGCTTTTTGAGCTCTTCCATGGCCTGGGATCAATTCATATTTCTCTTTGAGGCTTTGGACATAGGAGCTTTGACTTTGTTGTATTCTTCTGGTTATACATTTTGATCTTCTTTGTCACCAAACAAAGATTCTATGGTCTGATATTTTTTGTTTAGTTTGCTCATGATCCCAGCCAATTACTTGAGTTATGAACTCTTAATTAAGGTGCGGGTCCACTTCCAGTGTGGAGAACGTCCTGTCCCAAACTTCAGGGGTTTTGTGCAGCTCTTTTCAAAGATACTTCTAGAGACCTGTAAATATTCAGTTCTTCCAAGTTGGTATTCACTCCCCCCTCTCTCCCTTTCTCTCCCCCTCTCTCTCTCTCTCTCTCTCTCTCTCTCTCTCTCTCTCTCTCTCTCTCTCTTTTTCTCTCTCTCTTTATCTATTTTCCCTCACCTTTTATGCTGTCCCCTCCCCTCCCCCAACTCACATCTCTCATCATTTATTTTAACAAAGGTGGATAGAATTGTGATATATTTTATGGTGAATTTATCACATTTTTATAAAGAAATCTTGTTTTTAAGAAATAAACTATGGGAAAAGTGAATGATTAGTAGCTAACGCTAAAGAAGAGATGACAGCAAAACACAGTTGGTAGCCCTGTGGACTTTCTAGTAAGGAAACACAACATTTAAAATTGCCTTAGATTCTCACTCTCTGTGTAGCCCTGGGCAAATCATTAACATCTCTGGTCATTGATTCTTTCAACTATAATATAAGTGCTTTGAAAGTGGTTACAATTAAAGTGCTTTCATTCTATGAAGCATGAGAAAACAGCTTGGAGCTAATTTCAACCTTGAGTCAATATTTCCCATTTTTCTAGTGACCCCAGATTTGCTGTTATACTGGACTGAATGTTCCATGTATAAAGAAGTTTAGCTTTGAGAAAACAAAATCAACATTTTATGGGTTTATTGAAAGCTGATCCTTTCCTCTCATGTCCTTCTTCAGAATAAATCATTTGGACTGAGATTTAGAAGACTTTTCTTTTTACTTTAATATGTCATGGCTCTAGGTTTTAATACACTTGTTCTCAGAATTTGATAGTGAATTATTTTTCATCTTGTTGAAAGCGTTATAACAATTGGGCATCTGGGAGTCACTGCTGATTAAAAGAAAGGGACTGATTGTTGGGTAACACAAGGAAAAAACAACAGAGATATGTATCATCCATAGGTTTGTGTCTTCAGAATTATCCATCACAATAATAAAGATGGAACTGAATGAATAGAAGCACACAAAGGTGCTCATGAGCAACAGGATGGTTTTGGTAGCTCTGGTCTCTGGGGAAGAACTGGGGTTGAGGCTGGTTTTATGAATGTGCTGGACTTGCCAGTGGTGTCTGTACAAAACAACCACCATGTAGCCACTGGTAATGGCCATGAACCCCACAAACACTGCATCATAAAATGCCTTCAAGATTATGTATTTTGAGATTTTCATGGCATAACTGTCCACAGAACAAAGCCCAAGGTTTCTAATCAGGTTTCTGTTTGTGTTGTTCCTAGTGCCAGTCACATATAGAGGCACAACCCCATCTATCAAAAGATTGAGAACCCATACCAAAACAAAGAATTGAACTATATACTTTGACACTCTAGCTTTGAGTTCTGCCCATATGGGATGGCCAGAACTAATGGTAATAGCCTGGAAGACACTCAGAAGGCAGGTAGTGCAAAGGGAAATGCTCCGGGCCACTCTTTGAAGATAAAAGATGATTTTACATTTAATGTCATGCAGGAAAATTTTCTGAATGCAGAAATGGATTGCCCATGGAACTCCTCTCAAGAGAATCATCACACTATTGGACAAGGCCAAATTAATGAAAATTAGTTGAATGGTTCTGATTCTTTGACCAGTGATTATACTATAGCCATAGAAGCAAAGCACTAAACCATTTCCAAATGCTCCAATTATAATCTGAAGCATGTTGAAAGTACACAGGATATCATGATAAGAATGCATTCCTTATTGTCTTGTATAGAAAAATGTTAGTCAGACGAGAAGTTACCTGGGAATGAAAAGAGAGGATTTTTTCTTAGATCAAGTGATGTGAAAGGAGATTCCAAATTCTGCTCACCACTCAGACAAACTTTAGTAATTCTTGTTTGTTATATAAATATACAGTTTTAGAAAACGCTTTTCTCATACCAGTTTTTTTAGGTTAAATATAGAAGGATTTCAATCCTTTGACATTAAAAATGTTTACATTTACAAGTAGGAACTATGCCATTTATTATTATAATTATTATTAATATTACTATTATCTTGGGTGTCTGTGTATACATATATATACATATCTAACTTTAAGAAGGACATTGATATTTTAAAGATCATATAGAGAGTAATGACAGAGATCATGATGGGATTACAGAAAAAAATATAAGAAGTGTGGTTCAAGAAAATTGAAATATTTTGCCTTAGGAGAGAAGACTGTAGAGAATCCACACAGAAAAAATAAGTAAAGTTTTCTAATAAAAGGTCTCTAATAATAAATTTCATTTGAGAAATAAAAACTTGGATGAGGAAATAAAATTTTTAATTTCCTGCGTAAAATTGGGGTGTAGACAAGGAGGCATTTTGGAGAATCTTAGAACACGTTCAAATATGAATAGGTCATACATGGAAATTTTTTTTTTCTGTTTTGAACCCAAAATCAGAAATGGAGCAATATTTAGAACAAAAGAAAAACATATTAGATGTTTCTAAATTGATCAAATCCTAAGAGTTTTCCAACAATGGACTAGGCTGTCCTGAAATGTGATGTGTTGATCTATACCAGAGACCTGCATTTAAAGGTTGACTGACTACTTATAGGGAATATGGCATGCAAGATTCTTTTATAGATAAGTATTGGAATAGAACTCCTTCTATTTTTGGAAGGCTTGATTTATTCTTGGATTTCCCTCCCATTCCTTATGGATTCTGCTAAAATATATGTTACCTGATCAATAAGTAACATCAAGCACTTTATGTATCTTAAAGATCTTCTAAAATATTTTAAGACATCCATTTCCCTATACTTCCTCTGTTAACTTTGGATGTAGCTATGATGGAAGGGTCAAGAAACAAAGCCACTGAGGCCAGGGCTGCTGGTTGACCTGTACTTACTTTAGCTAGTTATCCTAAGTGAGCAGTCATTCTCTGTAAATACTGTTATTTCTAAATGAAGTGTTCATGGCATTTCCTCAGGCCACATCTGGTGACACAAAGACAGGTAGTTTCAGTTGTAGGCTTTTTCCAAGCTCATATGTCCTTTGACTTCAAGGATTCTAATGTCATTAATATAAAGTCACCAAGGAGAATCTTTTTATAGAGAAATTTTTTGTCATAAATGTAGCTGTCCCTGATGATGAGCTATCACTCAGAATTATTACCGTAAGAGCCTTTAAGTATTCCAAAAGGAATACACTCTCAAAATCCAAGAATCTTCTAATGCAGTGAAACATCACCACTGAGGTGCAAGGAGATGTTAGGGAAACAATATTTAGAGGGCTGTTATGGTCTGCCTCATAGACTTCTGTCTCCCAGAAATACTGAAACATTAAGCAGTTGTGGTTTATTAAAAAACAGTGTGTTGTGGTACCCACCCCCAACCACCAAACACCTTGTGTCATTACCAAGCTGAGATATTATAATTATCTCCTATCTTCTGTTATGTTTTACTTTTCTTTGTGGTCCTTGGTGTCTGTCTATTCAAATTTCAACCCCATGTTACATCAGTACATGATTAATGTTCAACACTTACCCAAACTTGCCTGCCATAGATAGGGAATTATGCATAGTGTTTTTTTAATTCTTTCCCTTATATATGTTTTATCAACCTGTTCTTGTCTAAAATATTAGTCACGAAGTACATAACACTGCTATTGAAGATTAATAGCATGCAAATGCCTATTTTATAATTTCTATATATGTATTACTTATATCTTTATAATTATTTTTATACAGCATATTTAATTACAAGTTCAGCAATACAGGTTTTATCAGTACATTTGTTATTATCACTATTTCAAAACATAAAGCTGAAAATATATGTTATGAACTGGAATCTGATACATATCTGCTATTTTTAGGAATATACCAAGAATATAAGAACGCTCAAAAGCAGAAGTTTTTATTAACAAAGTAAAATAATCACCAAATTTTTTTATATGAAATTTACTGGTTTTACGAGGGAGAAAATATGAGACATTTACTGAAAATCTACAGTGGATAAGTTTTAGTACATGGGACATCTTGAAAAACATCCATAACTGATCCACATAGTAAAATTATTATAAAAACTCTTGAGTGGAATCAGTCACTGGGATTATGTTACAAGTGTATAAATCCTTTCTTAAGTCTATAGTTTAGTTCTAAGAAGATCCTACTGACTTTGTATTTTGTGAGAACATTTGAGTAAAGAGATTGCTACTATCAAAGACAGTAAGATTGTCAAAATAAGAGATTATATTAGACTGGAACAATTATTGAATACTTTAATTCATAACCTAGAGATGAAAATCATCTCATTGGCATGGAATTTTCCCAGTTTTTATCACCTTCTAGATGCAGATCTCAGACTGAAAGCCCAGAGACTCTATCTTGCCTTATGGTTCTATGGAGAAAAATCAAAGAATACAGGAAAAAGACTAAGGGAACAGATGTCATAAGAATTTGATGTAAATGACAACCAAAAGATTACCATGACCTGGATAGACATATACAGATAAATGTAAATACGTGTAGGGAAGACTAAATTTCAAGGTATCAATAACAAGGAAAGGCAAATTGGGCAAAAAAAAGAGGTCATTGTGGTTTCCTGAAAATAATAAAAATGACCTCAACTTGGCTAACATCACATCTAATCCAGTTCAATAATTCCAAGCTCAAGGTAAATTCAGAAAATAGTTTTATTTTTAAACTGTTGCAAGTTTTGTCTGAAAGAAGATACATCTATCAAGTACATTTGACAGGTGAAATACCTTTTCTTTTAGAGGAATCTGATGTCCAAGGAAAAATTGCCAAGGCCAAATTGCCAAGGAGAGCTGGGGCCTCGTGACCAAGCCTTGCTCCTCGTATGATAACCCTCAAACATCCTGTTTTTCCTCCTGAAAGCATAAAAAACTTTTTTGAAAGTTCTCTTGGTGGACATCCACATTTCCTCAGATATAGGGGTGACCAGTCTCTTGAGACTGTTTTTGTCTCTATGAAAGAAGCCTCTTTCTTCCACTTATGAGTTTGATTTATTTTAGAACTAATTATCCTTTCATTGCCTGAGAAATTGCTTTGAAGCTAGGTGACGCAGTGGATAAAGCTCCGGCCTTGGAGTCAGGAGGACCTGTGTTCAAATCCGGTCTCAGACACATGAAACTTACTAGTTGAGTGACCCTGGGCAAGTCACTTAACCCCAATTGCCTCACCAAAAAAAAAATTGCTTTGAGAATATGAGAATATTTAAGTGAAAATAGTAGTAGCAAGAGGAGAGAGGAGTTATTATCCCATATACATATTAGAAAGGCCAGTTTTCACACCCTCTTTTATATGAAGATTGCACTCAGTATAAAATAGGACTTATTTGTCATGCAGGATGTGTGCCCCATTACTGTCATATGAATTACTGAGCCCCCTTTTTTTTTCCTCAAAAGATAGTCGACCAATCATCTCACACTTGCCTATAGCCCTTTAAACACAGAAGTCTGCTCCATATAAATTACATGGCATAGTCTTCTAAAAAAGATAACTAAGAAACATCGAGGCCTCAATTTTTATGATCCAGCTTCCCGCGCTCTGGGTTTAGAGGAGATGGCAGGGCAAACGTCCAAACTCCATCGCAACTTTATAATGCAGCGGAAGAAATCATGACAATATTCTAAAAAAAGTAGGCACAATGCTCTCTCACTGGATCTCTCTCCTTTTCCCTTTACCAACCAAAAAAGTCTAATTGAATGTAACCTCCCATATGCTTTGTAATCAAGGTTTAAAGAAAAGCTGAGAAAACTCTTACAGGATTCCCATGCATAGTTTTATGCCAGCCACCAACCCCCTATCTACTCCCTTCTACACTATTTTCCCTAAGAGAAGAGAAGTCTATGCTGATGTGAATTGCTTAGTAACAGTCTTTCTATTCTGCAAAGAACCTGGGGAGCAATTGAGCCCAGAGTCCTGTCTCTGCAACCTTGAAGCTGTTGCTGTCAGGATACTTGCTTCAGTGGCCTCTTTGTCAGTGGTCTTATTATAATTATCCTTAAAATCAGGAATCAGGGGCCTACATAAATGAACTGATATCTCCCAGGCAGCACAGGCAGTAAGGAGTAGAGTCAGAATCTGAAGCCATGCCCTGAGTCTTTAATTTGAGTGTTTTTCCCATTTCACCCTGAATAGTGGACAACCATAGCATTTGAGGCAAAAAGACAGAAACGTGGCTTGGCCCAATTTGTAAAACGTAGCAAGTCATTAAATCTAAGGCACACCATGATTATGAGTGGCAGAAGTAATGATGATTGAAATGAGTAAAGAAAATGAAGAGGAAAGCATGTAGAAGACAGGAATGAAGGTTAAAAAACTCTGTATTGAAAGCAATTCCCAATTTCTCAATCAAAGCTGCATTGGAATCAAACAGGCATGAAGGCCACCCCAGAAGCAAAATAAGACTGTAGAATGAGGACTGCAGTGGGAGACCGGGACCACACGTGTCCAACTCCCCATCAAACAAAACTTTCTGTGATTTTGAAAGATTCACCAAGTCTCTCTGGGCCTCAGTTTCCTCACTTGCAAAATGAAGGCTTTAGATCAGCTCTTCTGACTTCTCTGCTCTGAATCTCTGAGTCTATACGACTGGCACAGGGAGAGAGATTAGACGTTGGAGCATTGGCTTTGACAATCCCCACAGGAACTCTCAGCCTGTCATCGGCATTGTTTCAAAGCCTTGAAGCCTGAGTGGGGAGGAGGGGTGAGGGCAAGCTGCAGGGCAGGAAGCCACT